ATATATATAATACTGTGGCTGTATGAAAATTCTGTATCTAAGTAGACAATTATCTCTTCAGCGGTGGCTCACTTTGGAAGTTATGGCTTAATAAGGCTGCAGAGAACGTTAATGCAAGTGTGACCTATTTCTGAATGACCAGACACGTTAAAAGATTGATCAAGTCATTAGTGTTATGCCTCTCACGTGTGAAAAGGGCTTAACTGGCACACCACATTCTGCGTAATCTGTGCAGGTGCAAAAACTACAATTTGTTGCATCCATCAAGCGTGTCCTTGTCCTTGATATGAACAGGTTGCTAAATTAAAGTGGGGATTGATAGGTTGTTTAAACGCTCCGCTTTTTCATGTCATATCCAAGGTGTTTCTGTCATTTGTTTGGAGTATTTATGGAAGAACTATGTTGTTCATAATGTGAGGGACCAACAGTGTGAAGATGTAAAAGCATTAGAATCGTGTAGGAGTCAGAGAACTGTTTCTTCTAGACCTTTAATTGATTATTTTCCAAAGCATTGAAAAGTTTCTTCAACACGGAGGTTAAAGGTGGGGCAGGAAATGTTCAAACTTCTCCTAAAGGCTTTTTCTCTGTCTCATGTGTTGGCAGGCTTTCTGTTGTTGGCGAATTAACTCACAAGAAAGGCAGCGGGACAAATTTTATCCAGAGGATCAAGAACAACGGGCCAAGTATCACGCCAAGGTGGACGACTGCAGAATCCAAACAAGGGCATCGCACTCCAAGAGCCATGTGGGAGGACAGTAAATGGGATTTGTTATTTGCATGTGTCAAGTCCAAATACTTTCTCTGCTGACGTCCTGTGAACTTCTCCCAACCTTCTGTCAGAGCTTTTCCTCAGGGGGAGTCCCTGCTATGAACCCCAGCTCCATCGGCTTCAGCAGGCAGTCCAAGCTCAGTGCACGGCACTGTGTGGGCATCCCACAGGTCTGGGTTCTGCCCACACAGAACTCTCAGACTGCCCCAGACAAAAAAAAAAAAACAGAACAAAATCCTCCCGAGTCACTCCTCCATGCGGTGACTTTACCGTCTAGGTGTAAAATCGATCTGTTGCCAAGTTTCGCAAACTCCGACTCTTCCACCACCGCTGTTTGACTCACCGCTTCATTTTTAGTTAGCTCCCCCATCCAGCAGCAGCACGAGTTCCTTCGTGTTTACCACGTGGTGGAGGACCATGGGATGCCGTCAGAGCTCGGAGGAAAAGGAAGCGGCGCGGCGGTCGAGGCGAATCGACCGCCACCTGCGCTCGGAAAGCCAGCGGCAGCGGCGTGAGATCAAGTTGCTGCTGCTGGGCACCAGCAACTCGGGCAAGAGCACCATCGTCAAGCAGATGAAGATCATCCACAGCGGTGGCTTCAACCTGGAGGCCTGCAAGGAGTACAAGCCTCTCATCCTGTACAACGCCATCGACTCGCTCACCCGCATCATCCGTGCCCTCACCAGCCTCAAGATCGACTTTCACAACCCGGACCGCGCCTACGACGCCGTGCAGCTCTTTGCGCTCACGGGTCCGGCGGAGAGCAAGGGGGAGATCACTCCAGAGCTGCTGGGGGTCATGAAGCGTCTGTGGGCGGACGGAGGGGTCCAGGAATGCTTCCTGCGCTCCAACGAGTACCACTTAGAGGACAACACGGCCTACTACCTGAACGACCTGGACCGCATCTCTGCAGTCGAGTACATCCCCACCGTAGAGGACATCCTGCGCTCCCGCGACATGACCACAGGCATCGTGGAGAACAAGTTCACCTTCAAGGAGCTCACCTTCAAGATGGTGGACGTGGGCGGGCAGCGCTCAGAGAGGAAGAAGTGGATTCACTGTTTCGAGGGCGTGACTGCAATTATTTTCTGTGTTGAACTCAGTGGCTATGACCTCAAACTCTACGAGGACAACCAGACGGTAAGACAAACCTTTGAGATACCTTTTACACGTATACTCAAAGTTGATTTAAATTCATCGCTGAATCATTACAACTCAATAAAGAGTTGTATTGTGAGCACAATTTCAGTAGAAGTTTCCACAAGAATTTCACCAAATGATTTATCAGTTCTGAAAAAACAAGCAGCTCGACCTTTGTTTCTGCTGTGTCATTTCCCCTCTGGAGATCCCCATCTGCATTACAAACAAGCCTTATGTGGTCGCACAGTTACTCAGAAACATAAACACAATCTGATAAACCTTTTTTTCCCTTTTTTTTTAACTAATAGCTGATATTGTGCTATTAAAGTTACTTTGCAGTATTTTCAAAACCATCTTTGAAACTCTTGTCAGAAATTGCTGTGGGATAATAGCGTGTATAAAAACAGGTGGTTACAGTTTGGAACAGGAAGTTGCAACAAACTGGTATTATGAAATGTGTTTACAGTAACATAAATATAATTAGCTGCTTCCTCTACCCAAGAACGAGTTCTTTGTTCCAAACATTTTGTGTTTTGTGCGGTTTAACTATTGATGGCTTTCCAGTTAGAAAAATCATGTTTGACCATCATCGATCATATTTAATGGATTATTTAAAGCCTATTAGAGCCTGACAGCTTCAGCTACAATCCTCACATCCTACACACAGAAAAATATACATCAAAGAAATGGATGAGCAGTTCAGCTATCTGTTAGAGACTCTGAATAGAGCAGCTGCTCCTCCATCTTGAGAGGAACAAGCTGAGGTGGTTAACATTGGGTCATATGCCCCCTGGACGCCTCCTTATGGTGCTTCAGGCATGTCCAACTGGGAGGAGACCCCGGGGAAGACCCAGAACATGTTGGAGAGACTCTCTCAGCTGGCCTGGGAACAACTTGGAATCCTCCCAGAAAAGCTGGAGGAGGTGGCTGTGGAAAGAGAAGTCTGGGGCTCCCTGATCAAGCTGCTGCCCCCCGTGACCTGACTCCTGAACAAGTGGATGGATGGATGGATGGATGGATGGATGGATGGATGGATGGATGGATGGATGGATGGATGGATGGATGGATGGATGGACTTATAGGCATTTTTGAAGAGAACATTGTTGTCAACAGCGTTTACTTAAACCACACGTCATTGTGTCCAAGTAGGGTTGGGCGATATCGGCAAAAAATTAATCACGATTAATTGAGGTCAGTAATGATTATTAGATGACAACTGACTCTGAGTCAGTTACCCTGTATTCTCACATTAAACATGCAAATCATCAGTTCAACTAACTTCTTCATTTTAACAGAAAAAATAAATAAGTTGAAAACTGAAAACTCACCTTTTCCACAGCAGATATTTAGTAACACAGTGTGCCACAGGCTCACATGCATGTTATAAAATAAGCCTTTCATTCAAAATTACATCCTAACGTGGCATTAATTGCGATGCAGTGGCAAATATTAATTGTTGCAATTTTTTATGATTAATTGCACATGATACGATTTTGCCCAACCTTATGTCCAAGTAAAGTCTACTTATACAAATCAACAGAACTTTTAAAGTAGGTTTGTAATTCTAAAACTTGTACAATAGGTTGCCTTCAGGTCACCCTGGAAAGAGATCTGTGATCTCAAAGGGATTTGCCTGGTTAAACAACAGTAAAATAAAATAAAAAATATAAAAAAAGAAACGTACAAAAATCATTTAATTCAGTCTCTAATAACAAGATATTTAGTCTGTTTTAGAGTGGATTTTTTTCCATACAAGTGCATTAAATAAATAAAAATGATTAAATGTTTTTACTTCAACTTATTATCTTAACAATGAAAGCTATTTTGGACCAGATATGGAATTTGAAGGATTTCCTATCTATAGCATGTCCTTATCTGAGTGTTTTGGAATAGCTGAGCAGTTACTGCCTCCACGATAAAGAAAATCTTTTTTTTTTGACAGGTACACGTAAGAAGGGTCGTTTTTTCTTTCTTTAATGGCATGCTCGCTATTCTTTCCTGACGAACGTCCAGATTTATCTTGATGTCTTGCAGCAACTCTAGAAATAGCTTTCGAGCGCAGCGGAAACTTTGTCCTCGCTGAAGCAGAACTGACCTGATAATTCACGGGCTGCCCGGATATAAAGCAGGGATTGTAGATGGAGCCAGGCTGGAACATGAAATCAATTAGTTGTATAGGTTAAAAATAAAAAGTCGGATGAGGAGAAGGCATTATGGTGTTAATTGAGTTCACAGAATAAAGTGTGAGGTTGTACCTGTGAGAATTAGCAGATTGTGCAGGCGCCGGAAGTTAACTGGTGCAAAAGAAAACAAATTTTAGACAAAGGTAGGTAAAGAAAAGAAGATATTTCAAAAGCCTTTTGGAAAGTATAATCAAAGAAACTAAAATTGTTTTTTTCACCCAGTGTAAGGTCTTATGACTAATCATGTTTGTAGTTGCTTTGTGAGTCATTTCTCTTTGAGGTTTGGCTACATTAAGCACTACTTTAACCATTTTATGTAGTTTTTAAAAATAAACGTGTTTCTAAACGTAGCAAATACTTTGCATTGCATTCTATTTATTGCTCATTATACTTATATGTTTTTGGCCACACTGTTACATGAGAAATATTTTTAACTGACACCTGTCCACTTTTGTATTTACCTGTTACATACTAAGTGTTGTCACTAACACATTTTCATTATTTAGCTCAGTTTCTGAGTGTAAGATCCTAGATAAACTTTTTTCCACTAAGATTTTATTATGTCCACTTTTTCTATATTTTGCTAATTTTTACTTAACGTTAAATTTAAATGTTGAATGTAATGTCTATGCATAATGTGTAAATTTAAATGTAAAACTTAAATGTTGTGACTAAATAGCAAAGTTTAAATTTAAGTATTTCAGAATGGAACACCTTTGATATGACATCATCATCCTACGACAACAGCAACCGCTAACTTTGCTAATGCTGCTAACGCTTCCCTAATAGACACCAAGCTCACAGTTGCGGCTGGTGTCCGAGCTGCATTTCAAACTGTTAGACCACAAGTACATAATGTTTTCAATCAACAGATTTTAAATTTAATTTTAAATACCACCTTCAGTAGCATTAGCAACATTAGCAGCATTAGTGGTTGCCATTGTCGCAGGATGATGATGTCACAACAAAAATCACACACCAACATCAAAGGCTGTGCTCCACTCGGATTATTATTTAGCTGCAACATTTAAGATGTAATTTTTACATTTAGGTTTACAAATTTAGATTTATTATTTAACATTTGGGCCTACATTTAATATTTAGTAAAAAATTATCAAAATACAAGAACTGCTGTCAAATAATAAAATGTTAGTGGAGAATTTTTAACTACGGTATATAAGAAAGTGAGCTAAATAATGGAAATGAGCTAATGACATTTTTTAACATTTTATTTTACACTTGGCACCCCATAGTTACTGGTAGGTTTAGTTATTTTAGATTTGGTCTCTGAGCATTTATGCAGTTTGATTTTCCTTGGTTTGAAGATAAATGTTAATCTAATTTGTTATGTATTAGCTAAATTACTCCATGAATCTGAAGTTACACAAGCGATTAGGGCTTGTAATCAGTACAAAAAAGTGGGGCATATCTCACATTTAATCACCCGAAGTCTGCCATCTAATGACACGGTTGTATGAAGTTGGACTCAACCGTAAAATGACAGTGATGCGGTTTACTCTATCAGAAGGAAAGAAAACTTGTCAAAACAAGTGTCCTTATGGTTGAAACATTTGAGTGGAACAGCAGTATCTCCCCGCCCACATCTGTCTTCCTCATGGCTCTATGAGAGCAGAGGATAGGAAGGTTGGTACTTCCATGTGAAAATGTGGCGTATTTGGAGGCAATAACAAGAATCCAGTCTGGATGTTTGTGCAGCACCTCCTGTCACCTTTCAGAGAATCCTCATCTAGAGCACACCTTATGGATTTATTAGGAGTATGAACAAACATCCTGTAGGTTTGCATGATTTGGAGGATCTGCTGCTACTTAGAGAGACTTTATAGCTCTTCCAGCAGAGCCCACACCTAGTTTTAGAACCTGTGTTGTACATTTATTAAATCATCAGCTGTAACTGTAGTGTTAGCATCTTGTGTTTGTAATGTCAGAGTTTAACACAATTTAAACCAGATATAAATGTCCAACATTCATTATTCTAATGAAATTTAACAGACTTTATGTTGTTATGCAGCTATTTCCTGTTTCTGCCCTTATATCTAATTTATAAATCAGTAAATTATAAATAAAGAATGTCAGTCTTTTACAAATGGCTGTTTCTAACCACAGGATCATTCCGGTGCAACAGAATGTACAGAATCCGTTCGTTCTACGGTAAAAGTTACCACGTAACTAATGAGAACAATCACCTGCAGCACAAAAGCAGAACATTAGGCCGTCTTTTCTCAGGGGTCATGCACACTTCGGGGGAAAAGACACGTATTTTCCATCGTGTTGGCTTTTATAAAAAATAACGATTGATTATCAAACAAGATTTTTAGATAATGAAGAAAACAAGCCCACATCCTCTGTAACTTTTTTGAGTCGAATGAAAACCCTAAAAACTCTGCAACAGAGGATGTTTGTAATGTTATAGAACTGTACCATAAGCAGAGCTACATAAAAGCTGAGAGCATCTCAGTTAGGACATGAATTAAGCCAAATTCAAAGTAAAGGAACATTTTTTAAAAATCCAGCATAGTTAAATAATTAATGGAGCTTTAAACTATATCCAAATATTTGTTTGTGTGTGTGTGTTGCTATAATTTAAATTAATCAATCAGTCTTTTAGTTACAGTTTAACAATGTATTTTTAAAATGAGAAATGGTCTACAAGTTTTTTTAACATCCAGGTTCTGCAAAGAGCTTTACAGTTTCTCATGCAGAGCTTCCATTTGTTTAATTTTACTCACCATAAACAGCCCTTTGTGTATTCTTACTTATACACTGATAAGCATAAAAGTGGAAATGTCGGCACACTGC